AAAAGAAAGAAAAAAAGAAAATAAAATAAAAAAAGAAAAAAAAAGGGGGGACCGGGAGGATAGTTCCTGGGAGGAATGAAAGGGGCCAGAAATCTCCCCCGCGCCCAAGAGGACTCGACACCGCAGTAGCGCAGATGCAGCATGGAACCCGTGCCATACCCTACCCTTCTTGCCAGTAAACCAGCAATCGGGGAAATAGAAAACCTCACATCTGCCGAGCAAACCTGGGTGGACAAAAGAGGGCGGCCGATATCCGCCACAAAGCATACCTCCTTCAGCCACCACCCCCGAATCCGAAAGGTGGCTTCCAGAGATACACCCGTCGCCCAAAAGACACCCAAGCTACTCCGGGATACGGAGAGGGATCGGGACATCCCTAGGCAATCCAGATTCCACGGCAAACTACGCCACCGCCAAGAAACCTCAACGGAATGGGATGGACCCCGGTGTCCTTTCCCCCACCTAGGAACTAGCGCGCCTGTGGGAGAAATCACGAAGGCTAAAAAGAGGAAGGGCAAAAGGGAGGGGTGAGGAGGAGGAGGAGGAATGGAAAAAGGGGAGGATGGGATAGGGGAGGGGAGAATGGGGGGTAATTAGGTTCGGTCTGAGGAAGAAGACCGACAGGGCTAATTCCTCAGACCAAGAGCCTCTTCACCACGCCAAGGAGCCCCCCTTGAAGAGGTGAAATGTTTCAAGCACATTCCTTAGCCTTTCAAAACAGACTACCAGAATTTTACAGTTAATATTAGAGGCACTAATTGCTAATACCCTTTCCCTGATTTTGTGCAAGTCGAAGGTATACCATAAGTCTGCATCCGTGGCATAGTACACAACTACCTTATTAATGAACACACGACATTGGTTATTACTACAAGCACGTATCTAATTCTTAAATGTAGATGATTTCTCCGTCGCCTATGCAAGCTTGAACTGTCGACTTGCAGCGACCACTCCTGCATGCTTTATCCACTTTCCTACAAGCCTTATCCACTCTCCTACAAGCCCTATCCACTCATGCCTTATCCACTCTTCTACATGCCTTATCCACTCTCCTACAAGCCTTGTCCACTGTTACAAGCCTTATCCACTCTTCTACAAGCCTTATCCACTCTCCTACATGCTTTATCCACTCTCCTATAAGCCTTGTCCACTCTCCTACGAGCCTTATTCACTCTCCTACAAGCCGCATTCTCTCCTACAAGCCTTATCCACTCTCCTACAAGCCGTATTCACTCTCTTACAAGCCGTATTCACTCCTACAAGCTTTATCCACTCCTCTTAGCCTTATCCACTCTCCTACACGCCTTATCCACTCTCCTACGAGCCTTACCCACTCTCCTACAAGTTTGCGTTATTAATCTTAAGTTTGCCCGAAATGCTTTGCATATTAAAGGGTTTTCTTCATGCACACCTAAATCTCATTCACGTTTGTACAAACATTGTATTATGCAGACATAAAGTGTCTTATAGACTGTACAGCCAACTACGATACCTCACATGGTTTCAGGTTTTCAATCAAAACTATAACCTTCAGGAAATATCCTATCACCTCTCAGACTATTTTATACTTATAGTAGCTCTCCTATCCCAGTATGTGTTATGGTTAAATTTATGGGTATTCTCATTGTTGAATATCATGTCAATTCTATGACGTCTCCCTACAAGACACCTGTTTTATCTGACACTATTTAAAATTTTAGCCCATTTTACATGGAGAGCTGATAGACACTTCGATGCTGGTGAAGGGCTGACAAGAAGGCTCCTCACCAAACTCCATTTAAGGGAGGTTCATTGATGCTGGAGAGGGGCTCTTGATTCTAGGAACTGAACCTCTGTTTCCCTTGGCTCGAATTTGATTACCTTCCATTCTCCAGGTGCTAAATAACTCCTACGGGCTCTGTGCTTCCCTCTCATTTAAAAAAAAATGTAGAGCAGTCTTGTATTTGGACAACGTTTTGATCTGTTTAGATCTTTATGGAAAAGAAATGATAAAGATCTAAATAGAAAGAAACATTGTTCCGATAAAAGCTCGTTCTCCGAAGTGCCTTTTTCACTATTGCTGGAAGCGTGCCATTTACTTTTAATTCCAAATGATAAAAGGCTCTTGATCCAAGGAGTTGGAGCTACCCTTCCTTGGCTGAAACCTAATTCCTACCATTTCCCATGTGTTATAACCCCTGTGAGTTTGGACAAATGGGTGAGTGGGAATGGTTGGTTTAGAGAAGTACCTTGTATGGGTCATTAAGCTTACTGCAGTGTTCCTCTATTCTTATTAACAAAGAACAGGACACCCACACTGCAAGACTATCCACCAACTAACTCACATAGTGCAGGGAAGTGCTGCACTGCAGGAGTTTGTTATATAACTAGTGTAAAAAGTTTGAAGACAAATAATAACTTCAATAATTTCAGATGGCCAGAGTGGACGAATTTTCTATGGTGACGCAAGGTATCCCACAACTAAAGATACTATATTAAACAGGGATTTGGAAAGTCAAGTGTTTGTTGTCTGTGATGAACAAAGAGAATGTAGACCAACTGTTGAGGCGAAGGATCCTCCTGGGGCCAATGAGACCTGTAACTTTCTGGAGGCTTGCCCCAGCAGCTTGTCATCTTCCACCAGAGAGAGAGATCTGGTGCAGTCAATGGGAGGAAAAGGAATATCTAGGCAAGCTCTACATATCTGGAAGAGTGTTTTTAAGACGAACTCACTCTACACATTAACTCCAGATTTGCACATACGTGATTTATTGGCCCAACCAGTAGTTAATTTTGTAAATTTTTCAAAGTTTGTTAGGGAGGATGCAAGCTTGGTAGGCTATGTTTCAAATACGATTGAACCTGGTTCAGAGTTAGCAGTGATAAAAGAAGACCAAAGAGACTTAGTGAGCATGATAACTGTTAAGTGTGATAACAGCTATGGTGGCAACCATGATTCAAATGACGAAAACACTTTACCGCACTACAGACATACCTCTTCAAAAATTAAAATTTGGTGTTTTGATACCTCACTTGTAACTGAAAATCGAGAAGACTTGGAGAAATCTATCACAGAAAACACACTGGTGATTATTGGAGGGAATGTGCAGAAGGTTTTCGAAGCACATTGTAACAGGCTTTCAGAAGTATTGACTGAATTAGAACGTGTTCGACGCCATGACAGAAGAGTGTCCTTTCGTAACAATGAAGATCCAGGCTATACTGAACAGCAACTTGTGGATAAGGGAAGAACGTTAATTCTTCAAAAACGGGAATTCCTGTTATATCTGAAAACTATGCTAGATGAATTTATTGAAAACCAAAGATCAACTAAAATAGAATTCCTAGAAAATCAGTTCTGCATTCGCTCTAGAATGTAAGAGATTGTCGAATGCATTTCCTATCTATGCCAGACGCCGTGATATCCTCAGCACTGTCAAAACCAACCCAGTAACAGTTGTAGTAGGAGAACCAGGCTGTGGAAAGAGCTCTCAGATACCACAGTATTTATATCATGCAGGCTTTGCCAGCAGTGGCATTATTGCATGTACTCAAACATGTAAACTTGCAGCCTTGACACTAGCATCATATGTTGCAAAAGAAATGAATACATCAGTTGGACATATTGTGCAATGTCAAGTTGAGAGGAAAGCTAATATGACACAAGATGCTAAAATTGTGTATATGACAAATGACGTACTCTTACACGAGTATCTGAAAAGTAAAAATCTCAAAAATGTTTCATGTATCATCGTAGAAGCTCAAGAAAGAACTATAGAACTAGACTTATTACTTGGAATGATCAAAAGTTGCCTTCACAATCGACCAAACCTTCGTATTGTCATCACTTGTGCCACAGTCAGTCCAGACGACTTTGTAAAGTATTTCAAACAGTGTCCTGTACTGCATGTGACTGGTCAGCGATTCCCTGTTAAAATAGAATGGAAAAAAGTAGGCTCGATAGGTAATTATGAAGAGGAAGCTGCGAAAAAGGCTGTCAAAGTGCACTTGTCAGAGGGTAAAGGTGATATACTAGTAGTGTTACCTTCAACGTGGTCAGCAATCAATTGCTATAAAAGATGTATATATTTATTGAGAGAAAGCAAAGATTACATTGCTTTGCTGCTTCATGAAAAGTTACAGGACTGTGATAAACAGAAAGTTTTAAACTATGGATCTCACTGGAAACGGAAGATTATCATTGCTTCAGATTGTGCAGAAGCTTTCATAACCTTTCCTGATGTTAAGTATGTGATAGACACTGGCCTCACTAAGACGGTGCTTAATGAGGAACCTGAGAGGCTGAAGAGAGAAAATGTAATAGAAATATCCCAGTGCAGCGCCAAGAAGAGGTTAGGTATTGTGGGACGTGTATGTCCCGGCACTTGTTACCGACTGTATACGTCTGATGATCACCAGGAGATGAGTCTCTGTGATCCTCCTAAGATACAAACTGTTGATCTCACTCCTCTAATGTTGAAGATGGTCAATTGTGGTATCGACCCTGAGAAGTTTGACTTTATTACCAAGCCATCTGTTGACAGCTGGAGTGAAATACGTGCAAACCTGGTGAAAAATGGAGCAGTTGTGAATAGAAAGCTTACTGACATTGGCCGCTGGATTGCTGAATTGTCAATTAAACCAGAATGCGGTGAATTTATTTATGAAGGAGTACGTAGAGGAGTTGGCCTGGAAGTCATTGTGTTAGCTACTTTGTGCTGGAAATCAGTTTTTTGTTTACCATCTAATGAACCGAACTTAAAATTATATAAAGCACGAAAACTAGAGTTGTGCCATCCTGGAGGTGACCACTTGACTGAGCTCAATGTTTTTAGAAAATGGTTAGACATACCTAATTACAACAAACATAAATGGTGTGCTCATTATTTTGTAAATATAAATTCATTAGCAGATACATATGATGTAGTATGTGATTTATTGTGTCAGATTAAAAAAGCATTTGACATAGACATAGAATTTGTCTTCCAGAAATCATTGACAGTAGACATATTGCTGGTGAATCTTATTCTTAAATATTTCAGAGGAGGACTGTGTTATTATTTAGGACATCCAGAAGCTGGGTACTATGTTGTGTCACATGGGGGAAGAGTTTATCCTGACCAGACCTCCGCTATGAGCTTACTTAACGTCCAGCCAGAGTGGGTAGCGTCTAATGCTATTTTTATTGAATCATGTGGCTTTGTAGATAAATTTACACACATTGCAGAAACTTTGGTAGCAGAGGGAGTGAGGGAAAAGTGGATGAAAGTTGACATTAAAGAAATCAAGAGAAAACGCTTGATATTAGTGAGTGAGGAATGTGTAGGTGATGAGCTGGCTTGCAGTCTTCAGGAGTTTCTTCTGGACAAGTTTCTTAGATCAGAGGCACTTGTTTCGTTTAAACATAGTACGAATGCATTGCAGTTATTTGCCACGGATGACTGTCAGTCAGACCACCGCAGCACATTTCTAGCTGCTTTTCCTCCTCTGATGACGAAGTTTCAATTGGAGAGTTGTCTCCAACATGTTGGGTCGAAGATAGAGGGTGTGACGGCACTTATAGGAGCAGGCGGCATTATTTCTAATATTCTGACCCCAGACGAATCCAGAATAGTCATAATCCATTGTGACGATCCACAGAGAATGTTTACTGAAAAAGTATTAAATTTTTTTAGGAAGTATGGAGATATTGCAGATTACCAAAAATATGACCACAAGAGTAATTCCAACTTATGGGGGCATTTCACATACAAGAAAATTAAATCAGCCAAGCGAGCAATAAGAACGGAGAATATAGAGAATAATGGTATAACAGCACAGGCAAATGGAATAAACAACTTAGTGGTGAAGATACAGTGGCCAAGAGTTCCTTCAGTGGAACCCGGGTTCATATACTTTACAGAAAAGGAGCACATGGATATGGCAGGCTCCTTAAAATTCTTCAGCCTGAAGCCACCAGCAACGGAATGCAGAATAAGACAGAGCCTTGCAACTGCATTGAGTATTGATCCTTATGAGGACATAACAAAGGTAATTCTGCCAAAGGAAAAGAAAGAGGAAAACATGAAAATGCTATCACAAGTAGCTGAGCAAATACAAGATTTTATTCAAACTTACGGAGTTAATATTTACGTAAAGGAACCATATGAAGGAGATTCCAACTTTACTGCTTATTGTGTTTTTCATAATTTTGATGATGTACATATTGTCTTAGACAATTTATATAAACATTTGCTTTTGAATAGACAGCATACTTACGAATGCTTTCATGATATTTCAATATTTATCCCAAAGAGGATCTTCCTAATAACTGGTCAGTGTTTTCAAGAACTTGCTGATGAAACAGAGGACAAAGGGGTATCTGTAGCTTTTAAACAACTGGAGAGTGAAGATGTTTCGATGTACTTAAGTTGTGAAAATGCCGAGGTTCTTGCCAAATGTAAAGTGGATGTGGAGAAGATGATTGTGGGAGAAGTAATAGATTTCGAAAATGTGGGAAGATACAAGATGCTGTTCACTCGTACTGGAAGGAAAGCTCTGAGCTCCATCATGTGTACCACAAACACACTCATCCTGGCTGATGACAGAATAATGAGGCTCTCTATCCATGGATCAAAGAAATCTCGAGAAAACGCCAAAGACAAAATTTACATACTCTTGGAACTCTCTGCAGACAGTTGTGAATATATAGAATTGAACGAAGGTGGGAAACCTCGAGGTGTGATGAAAACTTTGATGAAAACGTATGGTACGTCTCTGAGAGGTCTGCAGGTAGAGACGGGTGTTGCAGCAGTCACGCTAAATTTCAGGAACCACCGTCTGGGTGTTTTTGGATCAATTGATTGTGTTAATAGGGCAACTGATCTTGTAAACAAGGTTTCGCAGACTCTTACAAGTAATAAAATAACACTGACTGAAGAGGACTCTGAATGTGTGATATGCTTGTGCCCAGTTGACTCTCTTTGTTCCTACATAGTTGAATGTTGTGGACATGCTTATTGCGGAAGGTGTATAAAATTATACTTAACTGATGCTGTGGCCAACAAAAGATTCCCTCTGGTTTGTTTTGTGAAGGAGTGTGGCACTATGTTTACATGGAAAGATTTCGTAGCTCTGGATAGGGATTGGTACCTCGAGAAACAGGAGCTGATGAGAGCAGCTGTCAACGTCTTTGTGAGTGGAAACAGAGAGAAGTATAGGTATTGCATCACACCCCTCTGTCCATCAGTGTATCGAGTCTCATTGGTTGGTATTGATTTTACTTGTCCAGAATGTCGGGCCAAAATCTGTACTACCTGCCATACATACGTTCATAATGGCTTGACTTGTGCGAAATATCAGAGCCTGTTTGATAATGTTCATCCGAGGGAATGTTAATAAGTTAAATAACTATACATCTACAGTACCCTAACAATATGGTAATGTGTGAACACATTTAATCATAGCTAAATTTTTGGGGCACCCCTCTTGAAAAATATAAATTTAAAGGCTCATAGCCTTGTCTTTTTAAACATTAGTGTGGAAGACAGTTTAAAGTAAACTTGACATTAAAAAAAAATCACTGATTTTATTCTTTATTTTTATATTAGTCTTGCAGACAGGAAGTTCCTATAGTTCATCACTACCCATTACGATGTGTGTCTTCCTCTTCTGAGGACTTTCTCTGCTGCTCTTTCTTCGTCGTTCACAGTCGTACTTCGGTACCACGACTGTGGACACTGATGCTTCCAAGTCATTTCCTGAAGTGTAAAATACACCGATGTTTTACCTGATCTCATGTTCCAGGAATGACACAAATAGCTAGTGTTTTCACGGTGACATTATGCAACCTTCTATGTACCATCATCACCCCTCGCGGGTGAGTCCGAGGGGAGAACAAATCCGAGGAATTGGACCTGTTCTTTCCTTGGATAAAGCTCGAGTGCCTCCCGTTTCTCCAAGCACTGTATGACCCCTACGGGTTTAGTGCTCCCTCACGAGAATAACATGGTTATAACCCTCAGTGGTAGTTTTCAGATATAATGAATTACGGTAATTATTCAATATTTGTATATGGTGAATATTATTTTAGTCAGTGTCTCAAAGTTCTTCCCAGTTACATTTACAAAACACTTTTATATTAACAAGTATGTTTGTGTGTGTGTGTGTGTATATATATATAATATATATATATATATATAATATATATATAATATATATATATATATATATATATATATATATATATGGTTCGTTAATACTGCTGCTGTAATAATAATGTATCAGGTAAACAATTTATTGTTTAATAAATAATTATATGTTACTGATGACTGTCACTTACCTTATACCTCGTGGCTCAATTGATACCAGCCTCAGCTTACAACTGAGGGACCGGAGTTTAATCTCCGGCACGGGTAGAAACGTTGGGCATGTTTCCTCATATAAATAACAAATAAGGCACAATACCGTAACTGAAACAACACACAAATAACCCGCACATAGAAGAGAGGAGCTTAAGACGACGTTTCGGTCCGACTTGGACCATTTACAAAGTCACACCCCTCAAGGAAGGTTCCTTGATGTTGGTGAGGGGCTCTTGATTTAGGGAATTGGATCTGTGCTCCAGTTCCCCGAATTAAGCCTGAATGCCTTCCACATCCCCCCCCCCCCGGGCGCTGTATAATCCTACGGGTTTAGCGCTTCCCCTTTGATTATAATAATAATACAAAGTCACACTAACGAAAAGGCGTATATATACTCCCTCCTCTCCTTTTCGTTAGTATGACTTGATAAATGGTCCAAGTCGGACCAAAACGTCGTCGTAAGCTTCTATGTGCGGGTTATTTGTGTCATGTTTCCTTATACTTGCTGTCCTGTTCACTTAGCAGTAAGTAGGTGCCTGGGTGCCTATCTACTGGGTGGTGTGGGTCGCATCCTGGGGGAGAGAATTAAAGAACCCCAGTGGATAAGCCAGCCAGACAGTGAGTCTTTTGGGTATACTATCTAAGCATAATCTTTCTTTGCATTTTTTCTTTCTTTTGTCATTGGCCTAATACTAGTAAAATTTGTGTAATAATACTTTTGCGTTTAACATTTCTTTATCAGCGCTGTATGACGGGTTTAGCGCTTAGGTTGTAATAATTCTTTATGACTGCTTTAGTAAAAACGTTGTTTTGAAAAATGTCTCGTGAGTTTAGAAAAAATGAGTTGATAAGGCAGCAAGGTGAGTAGGTATCAGCACACCAGGTGGTAAGTAAATTGCACTTGTGTACACAAATGACTCGTACATAAGACAGATATTTACGACGTTTCGGTCCGATTGGGACCGAAATGGGAGGGAAGCCAGGTGTGTCTGTGCGTATATTATGACGTATCAGCCAGACACATGTGCAACAGTTAGGTATCTTTATTCCGAAACGTTTCGCCTACACAGTAGGCTTCTTCAGTCGAGCACACAGGAGTTTGCAGAAGCAGTAGAGATGTGAAGGCGATGTAATCAGTCCATCACCCTTGAAGACTTACTTTTTAGGTGGTCAGTCCCTCAGACTGAGGGACTGATAAGTGCCACCCAAGCCTTGATGCTGGTGTAGGGCTCCATGTCCAAGGAACTGGAGCTAGCCTCCCTTCCTTGGATTAAACCTGATTACCTCCCATTTCCTCAGGCGCTGTATGCCTCCCTACGGGTTCAGTGCTTCATGAATGTGATATCTAGCGCACTCAGCTCACACATTGAGGTCCGTGATTCGATTCCCGGTACAGGTGGAAACAGGTCGTGTTTTCTTAAGACACCTGCTGTACATGTTCGCCTAACAGTAAAATAGGGACCTGGGTGTGGGTCGCATCCTGGGGACAAAACTAACCTAATTTGCCAAAAATGCTCTACATAGCCCCTCAAGGAAGGTTCCTTGATGTTGGTGAGGGGCTCTTGATTTAGGGAATTGGATCTGTGCTCCAGTTCCCCAAATTAAGCCTGAATGCCTTCCACATCCCCCCCCCCCAGGCGCTGTATAATCCTCCGGGTTTAGCGCTTCCCCCTTGATTGCAATAATAATAATAATGCTCTACATAGCAAGGGGGCTTTCTGTATACTAGTATCCCCTCATGGAAGGTTCCTTGATGTTGGTGAGGGGCTTTTGATTTAGGGAATTGGATCTGTGCTCCAGTTCCCCGAATTAAGCCTGAATGCCTTCCACATCCCCCCCCCCCCCAGGCGCTGTATAATCCTACGGGTTGAGCGCTTCCCCCTTGATTATAATAATAATGTATACTAGTATGTCATCGATGTCAGCTAGGCCTGTATACCATGTACATGTACTAGTAATAATAAATATTATTTATTTTTAAAGGAGTGTGGGTCAACAGGACTAGTTATCAGTACACACTACTGAGACGGGGAAACAATCCTCTAGAAACTTGTCCTCTAAGGCATAATAATAACATATTATCTTTATTTCTACAAGTACATGTACAAGGTATACAGATCATAGCTGACATCAATGACATACTACTATACAGAAAGCCGCTTGTTATGCAGAGCATTTCTGGTAAATTAGGTCAGTTTTGTCCCAGGATGCGACCCACACCAGTCAACTAACACCCAGGTACCTATTTTACTGATGGGTGAACATGGATAACAGGTGTCTTGTGGAAACGTCCTAATGTTTTCCACCCGTACTGGGGATTCAATCCTCGGACCTTAGTGTGTGAGCTGAGCGGTAGCTGACGCTTTAGTGTTTAGAACAAGCTTGTGAACATGATACAGGTTGCTGAACAAGCTTGTGAACACTGATACAGGTTGTTGAACAAGCTTGTGAACACTGATACAGGTTGTTGAACAAGCTTGTGAACACTGATACAGGTTGTTGAACAAGCTTGTGAACACTGATACAGGTTGTTGAACAAGCTTGTGAACACTGATACAGGTTGTTGAACAAGCTTGTGAACACTGATACAGGTTGTTGAACAAGCTTGTGAACACTGATACAGGTTGTTGAACAAGCTTGTGAACACTGATACAGGTTGTTGAACAAGCTTGTGAACACTGATACAGGTTGTTGAACAAGCTTGTGAACACTGATACAGGTTGTTGAACAAGCTAGTGAACACTGATACAGGTTGTTGAACAAGCTTGTGAACACTGATACAGGTTGTTGAACAAGCTTGTGAACACTGATACAGGTTGTTGAACAAGCTTGTGAAGCTTTCATCAGAACGTTGCTGACAGGATACACAATAGTTTCCACACAGTTAGGTTAAAAATGGTATAAAATATCAAGCTGAAGATTAAGGCACGTGTGCAACAGTTGGTTACCTTTATTGACGAAACGTTCCGCCTACACAGTAGGCTTCTTCAGTCTTAAAGAGGGAACAGGTGTAGTTGTGAAATGAAGATGAAGTCTCAAAGGTTGATGGACTCATTACAACCTTTATATTTCATTACTACACCTGTTGCCTCTGTATTTGACTGAAGAAGCCTACAGTGTGGGCGAAGCTTCTAATGTCTTAATCTTCAACAGTTTCCCCACAGTTTATTACGGTAATTTATAAACTTCGTGAAGCTCAGACCTCTACACCACTATTGTCCTCAGACATTTGTTAAGTTATACCATGAATTAAGGAAAGATCCTGGACTTCACCTTACGAGACAGACAAAGTAAATGCGATAGTAATTATGGACAAGGTAGATTATAGTGGAAAAATAAATGTTATTAGAAGACGGAGAACTTGCGTGCCTCTTAACAGAGCTCTGCTGTTAGCGACTACGCACCACAAACTTTTTTTTTTACTGCTTATAACGTCAGTGGTATTTATATATATATATATAAGAAATGTTATCGCGGTCTAATTTCACGTTACGTAATGATGTTACAACGTCAGCAGTAGACAGCGTTATACGATTAGCATGAGTGGGCCAACACTGGGTGGTTGTGGTGTCATATGTGGATATGTTGTGTGGTAGTGGTGTCATTTGTGGATATGTTGTGTGGTTGTGGTGTCATATGTTGATATGTTGTGTGGTTGTGGTGTCATATGTGGATATGTTGTGTGGTTGTGGTGTCATATGTGGATATGTTGTGTGGCTGTGGTATCATATGTGGATATGTTGTGGGGCTGTGGTGTCATATGTGGATATGTTGTGTGGTTGTGGTGTCATATGTGGATATGTTGTGTGGTTGTGGTGTCATATGTGGATATGTTGTGTGGTTGTGGTGTCATGTGGATATGTTGTGTGGTTGTGGTGTCATATGTGGATATGTTGTGTGGTTGTGGTGTCATATGTGGATATGTTGTGTGGTTGTGGTGTCATGTGGATATGTTGTGTGGTTGTTGTGTCATATGTGGATATGTTGTGTGGTTGTGGTGTCATATGTGGATATGTTGTGTGGTAGTGGTGTCATATGTGGATATGTTGTGTGGTTGTGGTGTCATATGTGGATATGTTGTGTGGTTGTGGTGTCATATGTGGATATGTTGTGTGGTTGTGGTGTCACATGTGAATATGTTGTGTGGTTGTGGTGTCACATGTGGATATGTTGTGTGGTTGTGGTGTCACATGTGGATATGTTGTGTGGTTGTGGTGTCACATGTGGATATGTTATGTGGTTGTGGTGTCACATGTGGATATGTTGTGTGGTTGTGGTGTCACATGTGGATATGTTGTGTGGTTGTGGTGTCACATGCGGATATGTTGTGTGGTTGTGGTGTCACATGTGGATATGTTGTGTGGTTGTGGTGTCACATGTGGATATGTTGTGTGGTTGTGGTGTCACATGCGGATATGTTGTGTGGTTGTGGTGTCACATGTGGATATGTTATGTGGTTGTGGTGTCACATGTGGATATGTTATGTGATTGTGGTGTCACATGTGGATATGTTATGTGATTGTGGTGTCACATGTGGATATGTTATGTGGTTGTGGTGTCACATGCGGATATGTTATGTGGTTGTGGTGTCATGTGGATATGCTGTGTGGTTGTGGTGTCACATGTGGATGTTATGCGATTGTGGTGTCACATGTGGATATGTTATGTTGTTGTGGCGTCACATGCGGATATGTTGTGTGGTTGTGGTGTCACATGTGGATATGTTATGTGGTTGTGGTGTCACATGCGGATATATTGTGTGGTGGTGTCACAAGTGGATATGTTATGTGGGTGTGGTGTAA